TCCTATCTCTGGTCCTTCATTGTCCCCTGAGACTAGCCATAGAAATGAGAATCCCTCTTCCCCGAGGCAGGTCATACAAACCAGAACCCCTTTTCCCCAATGCCAGGCAAAAAGCCTAAAAATATTCCCCTTTCTTTAACATTTCTATGTAAAAACTTCCCATAAAGAAATTATCCAGCCTACCTTGATTGTAGGCCATAAGACCCCCATTCCAGCTAGGGTCCTGCCTCATATCCAGAAGGAAGGAAGGCTGTGTGGAGAGGACAAGAAGAAGCCAAACAGACAGGCCTTGCTGGGTTTCCCCACTTAGTCTATTAGCACTAGACCCAACCCTTCTTGTCCAATCATGTTTCTACACAGCTGTCCACACTTTGCTGAACCCATGAATAAAAATGAAGTTTCCTTTGTATCTTTGGGTCTTCATTCTGAAGGCTCCTATGTCACATAAAACTATGATCAAATAAATTTCTATGCCTTTTCTCCTATTTATCTGCCTTTTGCCAGTGATTTTCAGTAAAGCTTCAGAGAGTGATAGGGAAGTTTTCCCTTCGCCCCTATTAATACATCCTAAACCAAAAGGTTTATAGTTTTAGCTCTTACGTTTAAGTCAATGATCTTTCTCGATTTTTATGTATGATGAGAAGTGACTAAACTCATCTTTCCTACATGTGGATATCCAATTAGGCCAGCACCTTTTGTTGGAAAGACTATCCTTTCCCCACATTGAATTGCTTTGATACATTTGTCAAAAATCCATTGACCAAAAATACAAAAGTTTGTCTCTAGAATCTCAATTCTGTTTGATTGGCCTATATGTCTACCTTTCTGCCAGGACCACACTGTCTTGATTAATGTAGTTATGATAATGTGAAATATATATGTGGTCTTCAACCCTGTTTCCTAGGATACAACTCCTAAAATTCTTAGAATCGCCAAAGTGATGTCTTTTTGTATGTTAATGGGTTGACTGATGGCTAGGGGCCCTTAGGTAGCTTCAGGATGGGGGCTGGTCCCAGAAAGACCAAGGCAGGATTAGAGAGCTGGAGCCTGGGTTGTACCAGCCCTTCCCACTCCAGGACATAGGAGGGAGGGAAAGGGAGCAGGTGTTTTAGGTGGTGGGAACAATGGGAAGAAGCCGCCCCAAGGTGGACATGAGCCTCTGCAACCTAGTGAGTAGAAGAGTCCAAGATGACTTAGTGTTGGAAGAGCAGGAGAAGAAATTTATGGGTGGAGACTACTAGGTTTGCGAAGCAGAGAAATTTTGGCTTGGGGTGGCGAGACGCCACTAAGGTATTGAAGCACTAAGTGTGGGGGCGGCTGGACTGGGCAGAAGCAAGCATCGGGGAAGACAGCTCTCCCAGCACCTTTCACAGTGCTCTGATGGGAAGGCAATGTAGCATGGGGTTTGTTGTTATTCTAGAACATTGTTGCCCAGTTCCATGGACCATGCCTATTCTGTCAGTGAGGGGTGGGGCATCAGGGAGGCCAAGGACAGCTCAGCCCTGGGGGTCTATCTGTCTCAATCAACTGCCCAGCATGCCCCATCCCTCAATCTCCTCCAAACTGACGCTGGCCTTCACCAATGACATTTGGAGATGACACCATAAGCCTGGCCCACACTCTAGTCTCCCAGCATTCTCTACAGTATCCTGGACCTTGACAATGCACAGAGTTTGTTGGAGGGGGCATTTTGTGTAGGAAGTACAGCATACTGTTTTCTGGGGGCTGGAAAGGTATGCATTGTCTTCTTTGCTGTTCCTCCCCTGGTGGCACAGCTCTCAATAGTGAGAATGTGGGCTGGGTGGCTGATGGCTTCACACCCCGTCTCTCTAACTGGGCATTTCCAACTGAGACTCTGCACCCAAGGAACCAGGATGCCTCCAGACCACAGGAGAATGAATTCTCCATTCTCTTTCCTACTTCTTCTTAGCCCAGGGCAGTTCAAACCCAGCCTCCCTCAGGAAGCCTTCCCTGATAGCTCCACCTAACTGAAACACTTATTTTCTTTGTACACATGTTCAGTGCTAAGGGATTGTCAATTCAGCAAATCAGCACCCGTGGTCTTACGCAGGTCTTCAGCGGACCTGGAGAAGCATGTGTGAAACGAATGCCTTGTCTTCTAGGGAGGTTACAGACCTCCTGAGGACGGGGAGCGACTGCAATTCTTCATTGTGCCACGTCTCACATATGCTAATGATTAAGAAATTTGACCATGTAGAAATTTGCTTTGGTTGGCCTTTGTGATAACAAGAGAATCTCTTACTTAACACTAGAGCCTCCCTTTTCCATTCTAGGCAGTTCAAAAGAAAATACTCAGTACAACCATTTCATGACTGCTAAGTTGCTCAGTTCAATTAGTGGTGAGATTGTTTTTCACACTGTTCATCTTCATTTCATGTGGAAATACAATTGTTTTGTGGTTTGATTTAAAAGCAAAAACCTTTGTAGTATAGTTTGAAGCAGGAACCCTGGTTTTATCCTGCAGCTCTTGGCTTATACAATTCAATTAAAAATATACCCATCTGCTAGAGACCTAGACTAGTTCTCTCACATAGAGGTACACAGAATATTTTTGTTAAATGTGTACTTTATTGAATGTTTCATCTATGATGGTCAGAAAGAATAAACTAGTTCTTCACGATTTACGATGCTAACTACATTTGATGGCTTTCTTTGTTATGAATCTTCTTACGCTGTTTAAGTGCTGAACTTTGGGGGAAAGCTTTCCCACATTCATTACATTTACAAGGTTTTTCTCCAGTATGGAGTCTCTGATGTTCGACAAGGCCTGAGCTGTGCCAGAAGGCTTTCCCACATTTCTTACAGTGATAGGGTTTTTCTCCAGTATGAACTCCCTGATGTCCAATAAGGGTTGAGCTCTTCATAAAGGCCTTCCCACAGTCATTGCACGGAAAGGGTTTATTTCTACCATTAGTTTTCTGATGTTTAGTAAAGGATGAGCGATACCTGAAAGATTTACCAAATTTACTACAATGATAGGGTCTCCCTCCTCTATGAATTCTTTGATGACTTATATGAGTTGAACTCTTCCTAAAGGCTTTTCCACATTCATTGCATTGATATGGTTTCCAACCAGTATGGATTTTCTGATGTTCCAATACATTTGAGTTACCCCTGAAAGCTTTCCCACATTCATTACATTTAAAAGGCTTCTCTCCACTATGCATATTCTTTCATGACAAGTAAGGGCTGCATTCTGGGCAAAGGCTTTCCCACAGTTGTTACATTTGTAGGGTTTCTGACCAGTGTGAATCCTCCGATGGCTTAAAAGGATAGAGTTCTTCCTGAAAGCTTTTCCACATTCACTGCATATATGAGGTTTCTCTCCAGAATGAATCCTCTGATGATTAATAAATGTCGAGTGCTTCTTGAGGAATTTCCCACATTCAATACATCTGTAAGGTTGCTTACCTACATGAATTTTATGATGATTTAAAAGGGATGAACTGCTCATAAAAGCTATCCCATATTCTTTACATTTATGTGATTTCTCAACACTGATTTCTCCGGTGGCTTACAAAGGAGGAGTTATATTTGAAGACTTTCCCACATTCCTCACATTTATAGAGCTTCTTCTCTGTGGAGTTTCTGCCCTCCCAGTGCAGGTCTCTTTCCATCATGACATTTTTTGTTCCTTCTCCCAGAGCAGATCCTTCAGAAGTATTTTGCTTTAGGGCTGACATCTTTGTTTCAAACCAGTACTCCTTGACTGAAAGAAAATTTTAAAAATTCAAATGTTCTCTATGTTGAAATACTAAAAATGAGAGTTGCACAAGGACCTGGATAATGTTCTAGTCTATATAACTAAGGGTTATGTAAAATTATTAATGTGTCCCACTTGCGATCCTTGCTAACTTAGATGGCAAGACTGGAGATATAAAACACACGCAGGATTCCAAATAAATGAAAGGAACTTATACTGTAAACATTGTATTTAAGGAACGTAATGAGCACCTAAGAAGTTGGTAAGTTAGGCAGGTAACACAGGAACAAGCCAAAAATGAAAAAAGAAAAATGACAATGTGAAAATAAACACAAATTTAGGGAAAAACACCCAAAGCAAATCATGGTTCCTACTAGAGCAGATTCCTGCAGGCAGTACATCTGAGAACATTATGATGTCCCCAAGAACTTAAGAATAACATTTCTTAACTAAGGAAATAAAAGATCTCTACATGGAGAACTACAAAACCCTGAAGAAGGAAATAGCAGAGGATGCAAACAAATGGAAAATCATACCGTGCTGATGGATCAGCAGAATCAACATTGTTAAAATGTCTATACTACCCAAAGTGATCTACAGATTCAGTGCAATCCCTATTAAAATACCAACATCATTTTTCACAGATCTAGAAAAAATAATTCTATCTTTCATATGGAACTAGAGAAGACCCCGTATAGCCAAAACGACTTTACGCAAAAAGAACAAATTGGGAGGCATCAATTTACCAGACTTCAAGCTATACTTCAAGGCTACAACCACCAAAACAGCAAGGTACAAGCACAAAAATAGAGATACAGACCAATGGAGCAGGACTGAGAACCCAGACATAAAATCCCCCTCATATAGCCATCTGATCTTTGACAAAGCAGTCAAAAACATACCCTGGGGAAAAGAATCCCTAGTCAATAAATGATACTGGGAAAAATGGATAGCCACATATAGAAGATGGAAACAGGATCCACACTTCTCACCTCTGACAAAAATCAACTCACAGTAGATAACAGACTTAAACCTAACGCATGAAACTGTAAGAACTCTAGAAGAAAATGTTGGAAAAACCCATAGACATCAGCCTAGGCAAAGAATTTATGAAGAAGACCCCAAAAGCAATCACAGCAACAACAAAAATAAATAAAGGGGACTTGATTGAATTAAAAAGCTTCTGCACAGCCAAAGAAACTATCATTAAAGTGAATAGACAACCTACAGAATGGGAGAAAATATTGGCATGCCACACATCCAACAAAAGGCTAATAACAAGAATCTATATAGAACTCAGGAAAATCAGCAAGAAAAAAATCAAACAACCCTATTAATAAGTGGGAAAAGGACATGAACAGAAACTTTTCAAAAGAACATAGACTTATGGCCAAGAAACATACGAAAAACGCTCAACATCTCTAATCATCAGGGAAATGCAAATCAAAACCACAATGAGATATCACTTAACTCCAGTGAGAATGGCTTTTATCAAAAATTCCCAAAACAACAAATGTTGGCATTGATGTGGAGAGACAGGGACACTCATACACTGCTAGTGGGACTGCAAACTAGTACAACCTCTGTGGAAAGTAATTTGGAGATACCTCAAAGAGCTAAAAGTAGAATTACCATTTGATCCAGCAATCCCATTACTGGGCATCTACCCAGAAGAAAAAAAGACATTCTACAAAAAAGACATCTGCACTCAATTGTTTACAGCAGCACAATTCACAACTACAACGATGTGGAAACAACCCAAGTGCCCATCAATACATGAGTGGATTAATAAAATGTGGTATATGTATATCATGGAGTTCTACTCAGCCACAAAAAACAATGGTGATATAGCACCGCTTGTATTATCCTGGAAGGAGCTGGAACCCATTCCACTATGCGAAGTATCACAAGAATGGAAAAACTAGTACCACATGTACTCACCATGCACATATAAGTAGTAACATTCACCAGTGTCAGGCAGGTGGGAAGGGGAAGGAGGGGATGGGCACAGTCACATCTAATGGGTGTGGTGCACACTGTCTGGGGGATGGACACACTTATAGCTCTGACTCAGGTGGGGCAAAGGCAATAAATGTAACCTAAATGTTTGTACCCCCATAATATTCTGAAATTCAAAAAAAAAGATTCAAAAGACAGAAAACAGTGACACTAAAACACACATCCAAATGCTCTTCTTTGTAAAAAATTAAATGGTGTTAATGGGGGGGAAGACAAATAAAGTAAAGAAGCAGGGAAAAGTAACCAAAGATACAGAGGATATTATAAAAAGAGTCATAAAAGGTTACTTTAACACTATGCAAATAAATTTGAAAACTTGAATTACTGAAAACTTTTCAGAAAATTGTAAATTATCAAAACTATTTCCTACAGAGAGAGAAAATCTACTCGGGCAGTTACTATGTAAGAGAAAATACTGTCAAAGAACTACCCCAATTCCTTCCCTCTGCTTCCCACCATAATAAACAAGTACAAACAAAGCACCCAAATCTTTAGGGAACAGCTCTCACGTGAGTTAAACTATACTAAAAGATAAAAATAGGAAAGATCCAAAATTTGTTTATAGAAGTATTACAAAATTAAAATCAAAACGCAATGTAAATGGACAGAAGAAAAAGAAAATGTAAACATATTCTTTTTAAGTATCAGCATAAAAATTTAAATAAAAGATTAGCAGAAACAATCACCTACTGGCATATTAAAAGAAGAATGTAATATGTCATGGCCAAGTGGGGTTCTACTAAGAATGCAAAGTCATTAAAATAATTGAGAATAAAATCTACCATAGTAATAAATCAAAACAGAAAAGACAGATATTTCCATATATGGTGAAAAGACATTTAATAAAATTTAGCATCCATGCTTGATTTAAAAAAGCAAAGATTTCTTAACAAAAATATATATGTATCCCAACCTAATAGCCAGTTCAATTACAGAACCCCTAGACACAATCCCATTAAAGACACAAAAAGACAAGCATATCCATCATTATCTTTGCTAATATTTTAAAAAGTCAATATAAAACAAATTTTTTAAAAATCTGTGATATGTGCCATATAATTTCATGAATGTATACAGAACCCACATTGATAATAAGAAAGACCAATAATCCAACAATTAAATGGGTAAAGGACAGGAAGAGGCAGTTCTCAGAAAAAGAAATACAGGGATTCCTGAAAATGTTAAAACATGTTCAACCACACTCCTGATAAGAGAAATGCAAATTTAAATTACAATAAAAGTAAATATTTTCACCTCTGAGATTGGCAAGGATTGATAAATATAAGACATTTATTTCTTTCAGCAGGATTTTAGAAAAAAAAAAAACATAAGACACTGTTGGTAAGTTGTGATCAGGCTGGCACTCACACTCTGTCAGTAGAAGTATAGATGTGTATAATCCCTATGAATGGTGGAAATATCCACCAAACTTGAAAATATACTTACCCTTTAACCTAGTAATTCTTCTTCTAGGAATTTGTTTTATAGATTTACTTGTACACTATACATTTACTTGTATAGAGAACTGATGTGTAGGCAGATAATCACTGCAACACTGTTCATACTTATGATGTCACCAAAGAGAACTGATTACATAAATTATAGAACATCCACAAAATGGAACACTATACAGGCATTATAAAGGAAAAGAGCAATTCTAAATCATATAACTACGTGAAATGTAGTTATAATGATAGTAGTATAATGAAATGTAGTTATAATGATATGAATGTAGTTATAATGATTTCCAAGAGGTAAGTGCCGAAGTAAGATGCAGAATAGTGTGCTACCACGTGCTTTAAAAAACACAATGTATATTCTCACAAAGTATACATCGTGTCTGGAAATCTCCACAAGAAACATACAAAAGATGCCTCTGGGGAGGAGAACTAGGTGATTAGGAAGGTATGTGAAGGAGACTACATATTACTTGAACCATCTGAATTTTGTACTAGCCGTTTCTTAAAACAAATAGAGGGGAATACACAGACACACACAGACACACACAAAGACAAGAAAAAAATCATAGAACACTGAATAGTTGTGAAGTCTTTGCAGAAAGACTTACTAGTCCTCTAAATTGATGAAAGAAATACGAGAGGAAACACTGCTTGTTTTTATTACATCTAAGTTCTAAACATCCTATTGCAAATAACAACCAAAATTAAAACAAAGAATAAGGAAGACTTAGTTACTACTGTTTCTATATAAAGAACCTACACAAGAATTTGGGCAGAAGATGTTAAATATAGCGAGAATAAAAGGAATTATTTCAAAAGCATCCTCCCCCGCCCCTGGCAAACACCTAGGTTAAGCGAGATTATGTACGACTGATATTTTACACGAAACACAGTTATAAAAGATCCCCTGAAAATGATATAGAGTAAATGACAATTAGAGTTTTAGAAGAATGGATCCTGGCAGGATAAATATTTTAGGTGAGAAAAGTTGACATACAGAAAACAGATGCAAAGTATACACAGATAAAAAATGAGAGCCAAGAGCTAAGGATAGTTGAGAAGAAAAATAAGATCCATGAGAAAAGGGAAGAAAATGCTTCCCCATCAGTTAGCAACTGTCTGAGAGTTAGGAACCTCTGTTTACGTGTGGAATCTGCCACTGCCACTAGCAAGTGGAATATAGTCGCTCAGCAAGCGCGCCAGCAGGGAGGAACTGAGAATGCACAGGAAGTGAGAGAAGCAAAGGACAGCCTGACGAATGCCTGAAAGCAGAGAGGGGAAATCGCAGTAAAATTCTGAGGATTGAGAGGGGCTGGGGAGAAACCACAGGCCTGAGGCCCTCGGGAAGAAAGCAGCTCTCCACAGGAGTGCGAAGACTGCGGAGGAAATGGCAAGGCACTTGACAAGAGGATAATATCAAAAATAGAGGAAACAGCATCGATGGGCCAGCGCAGTGGCTCACGCCTGTAATCCTAGCTCTCTGGGAGGCCGAGGCGGGCGGATCGTTTGAGCTCAGGAGTTCGAAACCAGCCTGAGCAAGAGCGAGACCCCGTCTCTACTAAAAATAGAAAGAAATTAATTGGACAACTAAAAATATATAGAAAAAATTAGCCGGGCATGGTGGCACATGCCTGTAGTCCCAGCTACTCGGGAGGCTGAGGCAGGAGGATCGCTTGAGCCCAGGAGTTTGAGGTTGCTGTGAGCGAGGATGACGCCACGGCACTCTAGCCCGGGCAAAACAGTGAGACTCTGTCTCAAAAAAAAAAAAAAAAATAGCATCCGATGCCCAGTCCTTCTGCAGACAGGGGTGCAAGATGAGCTTTCCTCCAGGAGCCCCCCCTCACTGTCCAGTGTGCTGAGCTGCCGCTGGAATGGTTCCCGCCCCACTCACCTGCAAGAGGCCCCACTGGGACCTCTCAGGCCTCCATCCACGGCTGTGCCCCTTGTTCCAACTGAGCAATTAGTTTCGGTTTGGAAGACAGAAGCCCTGTTCATAGAGAGAAAAGAAACATGACTGTGGTTCTGAACTCGAGGGATCATCCCAGACCTCCGTGTCAACTTGAGGGTCTACAAGGACCATGAACAGGTCAAGGAAGCCTAGAGGGTGGTATCAAGGATGCCCAGCTCATGCAGTAACACAGATGGAGGAGGGAAAGTCAATTAGAAAACTGGGCCCTCCCTGAGGATGAAACTCCTATTTTTGGAGGCAGGTGAATCCTGACATGGAAATGTCAGAGAACTGGGCTACCCGCACAACAAAGCTGCCCATCTTAAACCTTGTGTGGCTCGGACCTTCCTAAGGGCCTCTGAGCCCATGCTTTAAAAAGAAATCATTCACGATTTTTCCATACCCTGAACCATTTACCTTGTGAAAACACAAAGTGGCCGAGCAGAGCAATTCTGAGTCAAGGAGAAAGACATGCTTCCCGCAGACACCAGATTCCCAGTTCTCCAGCCTCGCATCCCTGTGCAGGGCCCGCTGAGCAGCATCCAGGTGCCTCCACTCAATCTGGGTCAAGGCCACAGCCACATCCCCAAATGTCAGTGGTCCCTGCAAAACCAGATCCAAATCTGCTCATCCAGGAACCATCGTTTGCACCCTCCCCCCGGAGGGAGGGAGCCAGGACCGCTCCATGGCAGAAGGAAAGCAAGACGTTCAAGGCCAACTTCTCACAGTTCTGATGGTCGCAGGAATGACGACAAAAGCCAAGAAGCTGGAAAACCAGAGAATGAGGGGAGGCTGTGACCCCTCACTTGAGCAACACTGCCCTCCTTGGACTCTTCCAACGTGGAGTTTGCTCACCCCGCCCTTCACCAGTCTTTGCTCATGTCGCCTCCTCAGAGAGGTCTTCTCTGTTCTCCCCCATCCTCCACCACTCGCGTGACCCGCTTCGTGTTTCTTCACAGGATTTCTCACCACCTGGCAGGATCGTATCCTCTCTAATGTGAGCTCCAGGAGGGCTCGACAGCTCGGGTCATTGCTGCCTCCTGGCCTAAAACACTACCTGACATTTAGAAGTATCCAGGATTTGTTCCATCAACAAATGAATAGAAACTGTGAAAAGACATGGAAAGTGATATTGATTTATCCTAGAATTTAGGGAGAGTATGGTCTGACTCTGGGGCAGAATACTAAAAAATAAAAACAATTTAATTGCTTTTCATAACAGTAACGACTTAATATGTACCAGGCGCAGTGCTAAACCCTAAGCACACATCATCTCTCTGAGTTTCCACACAGCTGTATACAAGTATTATTTTGTCTAATTTGTTGTTAAGGATTCTAAGGTTCAGAGAGTTGGAAGAATTTGCTCAAGGTCGCAGGGCTGGTTGAAGGTACAGTGTAAGAGGCAGCTATAAAAAGTGGTAATGAAACTGGAACAAATTTGAAGAAATGGCTATAAGATATTAAAATGAAAAATTGGGTAAGCCTAAAAAATACATCTGCAAAGATGTTTCAAATGAAATAATTTGATTTGTTAGAGCGGGTGGAAATGTGGATGATCTTTAATTTTTAAATGTTCTTTGTTACCCTTGTGTAATAAACGTACAAATATTTATCATTTCCTTTCAAAATGCTGATTACTTCCTGTAAACTTCTCAAAAAACTTCAAAACCCAGTTTTCTCTAGGATAAAGGCCAACTCCAGCCTGGCATTCTAAACTATTAATGTTTCCAACTTTCTCGAGCCAGTTTGTTCAGGGTTGGGCCAGAATGACTTCACTCACGCTGCAGCACCTTCCCCTAGTTCCCCATCCCCTGCAATTATGCAAATTTTATTTATTCTTCAGGAAGAACTAAAACGGCCCCACCTCACCCCGAAGGTCAAGAGAGCACTGCCATCCCTGCCATGTGTATCATTCACCGACTCTGTAGCCCATGTCTGTATACGTTAAATGTGTCCACTTTTCATCATCTGCGAGTTTGCAAAGTGTTTTTCAGTTTCTAGCAGAAAGCGTAAGTGGCGCAATCTATTTGGTGCGTGACTATGCAATGGGTGAAGAAGGAACCGAAGGGATGACAGCGGGGAGAGAGGTGGCTTGGTCCGGCGGCTTGGTCCATACACAGGGTAGAGCATCTTCTGGGCAAGAGGCATAAACCCCAGCTCTCTTTGAAACGCCTGTTGATACCTCAGAAAACGGAAAAATCAGCCTTGCCTGGCCCCGGGCTCTCCTGGCCATCTGCCTCCTGAACCGTTCTCCCAGGCAACGGCAGAGAATTCTGCGAAAGCCGATCTGGGAAAGAAAGGAACCGCGAGGACGTCCCTCCACGCCCTACACTACAAACTAGAACGTGCCCTCTGGACGAGTCCGCCGCCGTCCTGCTCCCTACTAAGATCGGCAGACAGGTCAAGGCCGGTACGCGTAGAAGGAAACGGCCCGGAACGCGACCCCGGCGCTCCCGGCCCAGCACCTCAGCCAACGCGGGCGGACCGTCTCGCCGGGGGCTCCATCTCCTGCCTGGGCACGAGCCGCACGCTCTCGGGGACGCCTGGACTCAGACGGTCGCTCCGCACTGCGCTCCCGACCCCGCTCTCTCCTCGACCCGCCGCTGGGGAAGGGCGGGAGCAGCGCCAGGGCCAAGGCCTTAGGGGCCCAGCCCGCCAGCGGCCGCTCCCGCACCGAGCCGGGCCGGCGGAGCTGCGCAGCCGCACGCACACAGAGCCGGCTACCCGCTACGCCCGGCCGGCGGCGCTCGCCCACGCGGACACGGGTAGGGCCGGAAGCGGAAGTGGCCGCGGAGGCCTCTGGGAAGTGTAGTCTAGAGCCCGGGGATCTGAGTCCTCCGCGAGCTCTGGCGTCGCCTGGGGAGCTTGGAAAAGTGAAGCCCAGCGCCAGAGATTCTGCGCTAGTCGTCCCGTCCTAGCATCGCGATTTTTAAAAGCTCCCAAGTGATTGTAATGTGCTGCCAAGATTGAAACCCGCCAGTAGATGCTGATGAAGATAAGAAAGGCATATTTTGTTACTTTGGATAGCTGTTTGTGATTGCTTGTTTGTTTCCAAATAATCCTATTTTGATTTCAAGCGAAGAAAATGCATGTTAGAAAAATGCGGCACCCAGAACACTAAAAGCGTTATTTTCTCACCATTTGCTGACATAGAAAATGAAACAAGATTGAATCCATTTTAACAAATGTATTATTTTCTAGAAAGAAATATCTATTTCAACTTATAAACTCCAGCAATTGGGACGCTTAGGAAGGAAAATGTATCTCTTTTGTTCAAGTAGGACGTTTCTTTTGAAAGAAAATTTCTCAGGACGGGGCATTCCTTTGCCGATTTGGCAATGATTGCTGAAAGCCCCGCTATGTGCCACTTACTGACTACACTTCAGGCGGGCTTCTTCGCATCTTCTTTTCCTCTGTGCCTCGTCTTGGTCTCATGAGCCCAGTTTCAGCAAAGAATCCCGGATTTTTAAAAAGTGCCGACTATATTCTGTCTTCCGGAAATTCACCCCAAACACAATGACGTAGGTAGGTGGAAAGTAAAAGAATGGAAAAAGATATATTATGCAAATTACATGATAAAAGAATCAACCCATTAGGAAGAAATAGTGGTCACAAATGGGTATACATCTGTCAACCTAAATGAAAGGACACTACAGAAAATTATTTCTAAATATGTTGGGTCTACTTGGGAATAAAAATAAGGATTATAATCTGGAATACATGAAATGACAAGCTACCAGTATATTCTATGAGGGAAGAGTAATGGGAGCTTTTATTAGCAAAAAAAGAGATTTACATAAGCTACTTAGAAACAGAGTTCATTG